CTACTAAAGTGTGTCATTACTTATAATGGCATTTGAAATATAAAGTTGATTTATAGATCAAAAAGGACCTTTCCTACTAATTAACAGAAGGTTTCAACTTTCAATATATATTTTGAGCTATGAGAAAGAATGACCCTCATCTAAATCAGGTAAATTGGTGTATCTATGGATATGGTCAATTGTTGTAATTCTGCTTGGTTATACACCAGACTATTATTCCCCTCACTCCCTCCCTATGAGAATTTCACCTTGGCAGAGACTCATAGGGACTCAAATCAAGTTACAGATTTTTATCTCAAGTTTGATTGCTGATGCACTTTGTATACAAGGATTTCCTTAGTAAATTGTGTTGGTTAATTATTATGAATGATGATGCTGAGGTAGGTAAATATGCTAGAGTGCAGTATTTTCTGTATTTCCCTTCCACTAGAACGTTAAATTTCTGTTTCTTAATGTTTCTTTCTCTAAGGCTATGCTTGTTTTGAGGGAAAAAGTAGGGAAAGGTAGGGAAACTTATACAAGTTTTGTGAAGGTTTCCCTACCTTTCCCTACTTTTTCCTTCAAACCAAATACAGCCTAATGGAAAGAACCTTCCCATTATACCTTTTTTATTGATGATCTTGAATGGGCCATGACCCAAATTATCACAGAAACCAACAATCTTAAGCACCCAAGTAAATACAAAACTTTTGATGACTTAACTTGAAAGGGAACTCTAATGTTCTGTAATCAGAACTGGTAGCTAACTGACACAGTTTCTACAGGATCTTGATAGATGAAAGCCCAGAATAGATCTTCCTATATATCACCATATATTTTCATATCACAAGTCTCTTCTCAACATCCCTCTTCCAAGTAGTCTATGTCACGAAAGAACAATCAAGAAAATTAAGGGTAATGCTGAGGAGGAGAAAATGCAACACATGGTGGGGTACTGGCTAGAGTAAAAAAGCACTCTATAGAAATGACTACTCTGGAGGGTCTCCTATCACAGGGATACCCTATAGCCCGATTTTTATCCTCTATTTTCCAGAATCAATTTCCGTAACTTTGTTTTGGGTTCCATTAGTACTACCTGCTAAATTGCTACATTCTTGTCATTGTTCGTTAGAAAAATGAAGTACACACAAGGGCTTAGAGCCAACCCATTGAAAATCTCTTCAAGGAAAAAGCTAGAAGCTTTATGCTTATCAAGGGAAAGATTCTTTTTGTAGTCAATTTTGTTCCCCAACAAACTATAGGAGCAGAGTAGATAATGGACAGAAGTATGTCATGCAAGAAGGAATCTTTACCTGAAAATGGTACACTTCATGGAAAACCAGTAGATAATTAGGTGAAAGAATGTGGTATGGATTTGAACTAAAGAAACAAAATTAAGATATTTCTCTTCCATGTCGAAGGATTTAAGTCAATGGTTATGATCATGTCGATTAAGGTGGTGAGACAATTATATTATTGGATTTAATAGCTAGGTTTAAGTCAAGATTAATTTTGATAATCCTACAATAATGGGTTATAAGAGAAAAATATCATCTCCACCTCAGGGAGGAACAACTCCAACTACCTCTGTAAAACAAGTAAATCAACAGACTAATAAAAGTTATGGAATCCCTAAAAATAATTCTTGGAGTTGCAACCCCACCAGATGGCCTAGTGAATAAAGTACGTTGTATATGGCGTTTCCATGTTCTTTCCTTAACTTGTTCCTTTCGCTACTTGTAATTCTTGTCTTCCATCAATGTCTTTTCATCCAAGGAAACTGTAGTTATATAAAACTAATTTATGGGGGGAAGAATCCCTGCAATTTAACATATAAAAATGAGTACTTTAATACTGACTTGTGCAATGAAAATGGTGGTATATATATATATCTACTTAGATGACTGGCTCTCTGAACTACTTTGTTTTTTGGCTGGAAATTGACTACCATTCTGGTTTTAACAAACTATGTTATAGAAAAGACTTAAGAGGTCATTCTTTGCTAGCTCCTTAAGCAAATGTTACACTTGGCAGCTGATGTGGCACCCCAACTTGTAGCTACATATTTTGCCGAATTAGTACTTTTATCTCCCACATGTCCTTGTCTTCATTAACCAGTGGGCAGAATAATTTTGACAAAAAAAAAAAAGAAAAACATTATGCATGTTATATATATAGTACCTTTAGTGATACTGATCCAGACGACCCATTTGATCAAGCATTGTTTGGTATAGATAAGGGAATTGTACTTAATAAAGATGGGTTCAAGGGTTGATTATTTTATAGTTTTAGGTTGTTGTTTTGTTAAGGGGCGGCTAAACATCCATGAAACCAATGGGCTGGAATTCCTGCAAGATGGCCCTAGAACATGCCAGTCATTAGTTCTCTCATCTGACTTATACACTGTATGTTCCACCTGATGATCAGAGTTTATGTTTCTCCCAGTTCATCTTTCTGTGACAAAAATTCATTGGAAAAAAGCAGGATAGGGGCCAGGGTGGTTAGATTATTAAGCCAATCAGAACCTCAATGTACCATTTCCATGCATGGCTGGAGGAAGTAACAGAGATTCCCTCTAGCTACAATCATGGATCGTATTTCTGTAGGGGAGACACAGTGACATAGCATCCAAACATGCTTCTTTGTTTTATATTGTTCTTAGTTGGAAAAGCCATGATCAGACCACTCAATCTACAGATTCCAACCGAAAGATCTAGCTCGATTATCTTAGTTGCATGAACCAACACTGTAACTGCAGGTTGATTTAAATATTGTGTTGCTAATGGTGGTGCATGCTAATTGGAACAGTAGTGTGGATTCATGTCAAACTGAAACCAGACCTTATCAGAGTTATAACTGTGGTTCAACCAATGGTCTGAAATGGGTACGTAATTCCAATGGTTTCATGTACATATCAGGCAAGGTTCCTAAACCAAATTTAATTTTGTGTAACTATGATCCTAATTAAGTTGAGGGGAATCCATCAGGGGTCGGGTTTCAACTTTCAAGGAGGGAAATTTAACAAAACCAGACGGTTTAGGTTCTATAGGGTTGCTTTTATGTGTTTTATTAGCTTGCCTCTTCTGAAATTAATGAATCAAATAATGAGGGTTTGTATGGCTGATCCTGATTTTGCCTGTCAAAGACAAACGAAATCATTAAAAAATTCATCTTGACTTTGCAACATATCTGTGTAATGTCCCAACAAACAATTGGCTCTAAAAGTCTAGAACCCTACTTTACACTATGATGCTCTAGACTAATAATCCACACACTATAATAAATAATAAACTAATAATCCTCATTAAAATCTCATAATCTTCAAATCCAAACAATTCCCATATAAGGGTTTTGCAAAACCAATGGCGCTCCAAAGAATACCAATAACTAGAAGAAAGAGGAAAACTGATATTATTCTTCTAATGCAAAGCTGGCTAACGGCTATCTAACAAGGGACCCCAACACATGAGAAGCTAGTACACATTTAGTCGTTAGATTGGTATCTACTCAACGCCTATACCCCACAGTGTATGTCCTACTTGACATTAATATACTGGTGAGAAGTTCCTCCTCCTCAGCTAAGGGTCCCCTTTCTAAATTGTGACCCCTTCTGTTTTGTCTGCAAATAAACATCATGGCTGTGCTACTCGCTAGAACCAATTTTGTGCTACAAGGTGTATCTGTCAGTTAATAAATAGGTGAGACCCACCACTCTTTGGCATCTAGTATTACACTTGGTACTTCATTTCAGGGGTGAACGTATAGGGGACCCACAACAAACAAATATCACTGCTATCTTGGCCATTAAATTTGAATTACGGTTAATGCCACAGAAAAAGGAATATAAAACCCTACGTATTGAACAGTGTAGTAGATTCACTGTATAGACGCAGTACATGAAAGGGGTGGAGATGGGTCGGATCTGTTTGGATAGAAAAATGGGATTCATCTGTCAATTTGATTGAGTTATTGATGAAATGGATATGGAGAATCGAAGACCAAATGGGTTCACGGTTGTGGTCAATGCTTGCCACCTCAAGGCTCATATGTAACAATGTGTCAACGACGGTATTGGAATCCATTAAATAAGCTAAGCCATCATGTTTCTATGGCATGAATCTTCAGGATTCTATTAAAGCTGAGCAGAAATTAATTTTGAGGACTAGACATTGAAGGTCCCTTAGGCCCGGCACATATTGACTGAGCATAATGGGCACTATGGGCCTGGGCTTAACATTGGAGCCTGTTGAATGGACAGAAGGGTTGATCAACTTGATCTAGATTCTAGTAGCATTTGAAAAAAGTAAGTCTAGTTCTTAAAACTACGTCCATCTTAATCTTTATGCTAATTTCAACGCCCTGCTAGGTCAAAACACTTTTTCCCATGAAAAGGTCTTGGCCTGAATCATCATGGGCTTGGGTGGAGCCCGGCCCGGCCTGGCCTTTGCAATCCCATGTGACATTCATTGGAAACCCTAGACCTAGAATTACGAAATAGATCATTTAATGGAGAAAAAGACTAAAATGTAAGGATTTGCAAGCAAGCAAGCAAAGTAATAAATGGAAACTCCTCTTTCAGCTTCTCCCCGGTCTCAATCTCCCTCTTAAAGACATAAGGAAAAGCGTGACAAACGGTTAACTCTTAAATGGATCACGATTTTCTCCTCCATTTGCCCTTTTTCCTCTGTTTTTTTTCTTGGGTTCTTTCTAATTTATCCATTTTTATATAAACTATAAACAAATATATATATATTGTGGTTTCCTTTACTTTCATAGCCAAGAGAAAGGGCCAAAAATGTAAAATAAGCCCCCAATGCACCCATTTAGAAAACCGACAAAATACAAACTACAGACACTAAGCAATTACACAATTGTTTTGTAAAGAGAGCAAATTAGGGGGGTTCTCCTTCTACTCAGCAAGATTTGCTTTTAAAAAATGGTTAAATGAAATATTATAAAAATAGACACCTAAAAGTACTATAATATTGAATAGGGCCATTGAATAACATTGAATTCTCCAAACCTGCAATTAAATACACGCATGAAAGACCCCACCAGCCCCTCTTCCTGCTTCCATCTTCACCCACTGGTCTCCTCTACCTCTCCTTTAAAATCCCCTCCTGCAACCCTTCTGACCTCCATTAATGCCAAAGGTTGGAAGCTCATTCACAAACCCAAGAATTATACAGGCCTCACTTCTCAAACAAAGGCTGTAGGCTGAGAGAGATCCCATGGGAAAGAAGATGATGAAGCTTCCTTCTATCTTTAAGGGCAAAGACATAAAGGCTTCATGGCAGTGGCCCTCTTGCAAGCACCCCAAGACCCTCTCTTTCCGAGCCGGCGAAGACATGTTCAAGACCGTTAACTCGGTTTTCTTTGATCCAGGCGACATGACCACTACGCCGGAGTCGTGGTTTACCAACTCATCGGAGTCTGGGAGCTTCTCAACGGCGTCGGAGGACTCCAGAGGTGAATCATTAGAGATGGTCATTCGTGGGTTGCGATCGGAGAGGCTGTTCTTTGAGCCTGGCGAGACAAATTCAATCCTGGAGGAGTCCAAGCCAGGCGAGTTCCCATTCAAGGAGAGCGTGGTGTTGGCGATGGAGTCTCAGGATCCGTACGTGGACTTCAGGACGTCAATGGAGGAGATGGTCGAGGCTCATGGATTGAAGGACTGGGAATGCCTGGAGGAGTTATTAGGATGGTATTTGAGGGTGAATGGAAAGAAGACTCATGGCTTCATAGTTGGAGCATTTATTGATTTGCTTCTCAGTCTTGCTTCATCTTCATCTCTTTCCTCTCCTTCTTCTCCTTCCTTGTCGTCTTCACTGAGAAGAGAGAAGGAGGTCCAGGAAGTAGCCAACGATTTATGCTTAAGAGAGAAAGAGGATGGTTCATGCTTAACAGAGGAAGAAAGTAGTTCAACCTCAAGAGAGGAAGACGTTGATGCTTTATGCTTAAGAGATTTGTTCGCTATATCTTAAGTTCTGCTACTTCAATGTATCGTTCTTTCTGTACAGTAGTAGGCTGAGGAGAATGAATAGTGAAACATCGATCAATCATCATATATGATCAGGTCTCCTTCCCTCCCTCTCTCTCTCTCTCTATTCTGTGTGTTTGTGCGTGGGATGCATCTGTGATCTGTCTGCACGAGGTTGACTGTATGCCCAGTTGACAACGGCAGACGTGCGTGTGAACCCAGGCATATTTATTGAGACAAATTACATTTTTGCTTAAATTGCTCCCTCTTCTGTAAATTGGAGGGAAGTTTGAAGACGACGACGTTGTAATATTTGATGGCCAGTGGTCCAATATCCATCTATTCCTCATCTGGGTTTATGTTGCTTGAGTCGTTTTCTAGCTTCATACAGTCTTATGGGGTTAATTAGCAGTTATATAATTAGATGCATTAATCTATAGATAGCCATCACTTAGGTGGGTCCCGCTCAAGTGATCTACTGCATCAGATTCCAATTTGAGCGGATGATCATAGCTACCATCCAAACCAGTTTGGACAACGTAGATTGCAGAGTGACCATCACTTTGGTCTCTCTAGCAGTTGAAGAGGCCAAAATATAGCATTCCTGGTGGAAAGCAAGAAGCTAGCTAGCTAACAAAACCCAGGAAATTAAAGAAACAAACATCTTTTAATTTTGATTTCATGGCGGAAATGGTTAGATACTCAAGGCAGTTGAATCAATTAAAGCAGTAGTCAATTCTTTCGAACTGCATCTATTGACATGTTTTAAGATGAAAACTCATGTGGGGTTGAGTTCTCACCTTTTCTGATTTCCCTTGTAAAGTTGTGAAGTTTGCTGATCAATAAGTTCAGTCAATATGCGCAAATAACGATTGTGGGTATCTGCAGCTGGGAAACCAGTTGTGAGACTCAACACTAACGTGAATACGTGAGATGGGTTTGCTTATAGCTGGGGTGTCGTGTACAAAAAAGCTTCAGTCGTTCAGTGTTTCAGGCAAGCGGGGAATCTTAGAACGGAGCCAAGGTTACAGCCAAAAAGTGTTTCATATTTTTCCGAGCAAATGTACAGTTTAATTCATATTTATTGTCAGAACGCGCACACGCACAGCCCTCTCTCTTTCTCTCTCTTGCTTACCAGTTACCACAGACCCTCTCCCTCTCTCTCTCTCTCTCTAGATCTCTAACAAGTAACAAAACCAGAAAAGCAACAAAGGGAGAAAATGGAGACGGACTCCGGCTTTTGAGCTGGAGTTTGCTTGCACGAAATCCATCGTAACAAGCAAGAAAGAAGCAACAGAAGAGTTTGCACTTGACGAATAGTTGAGCAAGAAAAACTTTGCTCCTTTTAGGTTGTACCTACAGTGTGATTTTTTATGGTGGATGACAAAACAAAGCTCTGGTTAACATACTTCAACACATGAATTGGTTGTGTTGGGATTTCCTCACACCCACTTCACATCACATCGCAGCCGCACATCAGTCTTTCATTCATGAGATGTTCCCAATGCATGGCTGATAGTGCACTGAGATGGGTGTAAGGAAGGAATCCGGATTCAAATTCGTTTTTCATCCTACTGTTAGCGCTAGGGCTAGAGAGTATACCAGTGTTCAAACAGGTTTGATTTGCAACTGATGGCTGCATTAGGGTATGTTTAACCAACAATAATGCCTCAATCAGTCATCAAGTGTACATTACCCCACGAGCTCAATTTGGCTGTTTGGAAAAAAAAGCTTGGGCTGTTTCACATGATATATTACCCCACTTTTCATTTTCTATTTTTTTTTAACTTCAAACTTTACTTCAGGTGGAGGGGCGACCACCTTAAAATTTTATTTATCAATATCAAATATAAAAAAATATTATAGGGTAGGACATAGCCCGCCTTGCCCCAAACACAAAATACAAATCTCTCAACCTAAGTTTCTCAGCCTAGCCCAAAAGAAAAGTACAAATAAGATTATCTAATTCTTAAATTGGGCAGACCTATAAGATCTTCAAAAATTAACTTTCTTACTTGATCTGGGGTATGTGAAATGGCGTTGAAACTGGTGAATCCTTTCAACAACTCACCCATTTTAGCTAAGCAATCTGCTGGTCTATTCGCTTCACCGTACACATGTTTTAAGGAGAAGTTGCAGAAGTCAAGAAGCCTTTTAATTTCTACTACATAGTAATGAATACTCCATGGGATAACAAATGAATTGAAAAGGCTTACCACTTTTCATTTTCTCTTTAGTTAATAGATTATTGATTGCAATTACTCTTTTACCCACACCTCTGTTGCCCAATGCAGATTTATGATTTCCACTGCAGAGCTATAAACATTCAAAAGGTAAAAAAATCACACTCTATGCATCCATACCCGCCCATGAATTGGCATCAATTCCGAGCTGACACCTACTCCAAATGTACTTTGAACTTATCCCTTCCTTTTTTTTTTAAGTTTTGACCAATCAAAACCCACCATAAAATTTTGATAAATTCCACCTGATTGGTTAACACATTTATGATTGATCATGATTTTTTCATCGAACATTGGTTAAATAGCCCCTAATGCATGCATATCAAATAATGCAGCTCATCAGATCCGGATTAATACATTGTAGTTTTTTCGCATAAATGTATGCTTCTAAACATCACTTACCTTCTTCCTGGCCCAATTGGATCCATGATTGCTATTTTTGCAAGCATCGATGGTGATATAAGATAAACCAATTCATCAACCAAGGGGTCCTTGATGGCTATTATTGCTTGGTGTTAATGGTGACATAAGAAAGATTTAGAAATACCAACACAATGAATTAGCCTCAAAAGGAGAAAAGAGAAAAACTTGATACATGCAATGGGTTAAGAAATTAGCTGTGGTGCAGCATGCGAAAACATATCCAATTAAATTTCCTCCATTCCTATCAAGGAAAACTTGTTCCCATGTGCACACCCATGCCATCAACCAGTGCTTAATTAGGGTTTGTACTATTCCAAAGCCCTTTAATGGCTAGAAAACCCCTTTGGAAGTGTCGATGTCTACTGGGGAAGTGAGAGGAGGTCTCTTGCAATTAATGGCAGCGTTTTTAGTAAAATGCCACTCTGTGTCACTCTCTCTCTCATCATCCTACACAGGGACCATTGCTCTTTTTGTCTAGTTACAACCCTCACACATCGCAATCATGGTTTTCAAGCTTTTAATTATCGCCAAAGAGGGACAAAGTGTTCCCCATGTACATGTTACTTTTAATATATATATATATATTATATATATATACATGTATATGAAATTTCAAGTGAGTTTGGTAGCCAGCTGGGTTGTTTAATTATCTTCCACGTGGCAAGATGTTGTGTTGGGGGTCAAAACTCAAAATTAAGGCCCACTCTCACTATATATTCTATTCATGGGGTATGGGCAATTCAAACTGACCACAACCATTAATTAATTCTCTCATCTCTATGGATGATTTTGAATGGTTGATTTTTCAATGAAGATAAAAGCCAATCCAAAGTGAGGTATAGGCCTCTTTGGTATGGATAATTTAACACGTGGCTAGTTCAAAGGGTTCCATATGCAGGAGATGATTTGGAGTGGTGACATTATCCCTATATCATCATGGCCGTCTTGTTGTCATCATCATGTAAGCCTTATGTTAATTATATGGAATGCACTGCATGAATTAATCCTATTTTGCCATTTTCGTTTTGTTTTATTTTATTATTAAATTATGGATGCTTAAATCGTTTCTTATTATTTCTTTTCCACCTAAATCTTAGATGTAGTGGAAATAACAGATGTGTTTGTAGAGAGGATTCCAATGTACCCAATAACTAGGAAATTTTTGATAATATCATCATTATAAGTTTATCAAAGCCCTGGAATTTCATATGAAATCTTTTAGAGAAAATGTGTCCAATGTAATTTCATTTACACTAAGTTGATGAGAAATTTTGCAAAACTTCAGCAAAATTAAAAACCCTAATCATAATAGCAAGTTAATTATATATCGGAAGTACCTCAATGTATTTAATTTGTCATGAATTAGTTACATAAATGGGAAGTATTGTATGAGAGAAAACGAAAGTAGGAGGAATTTTGTGTCAGCTTTTTTGAATGTGAAGCATGCACTGCAAAAAGTACAAATTTTGCATCAGGCAAGGATGCAAATCATGCATGGTTACAAACAAATAAATGCATGCAAACTGACCAGGTAGAAATTTTACATCATGTTTGGATTTATACTGCAAATGGACCCTAAATAACAAAATAGCAAATTTGAAAAAAAAAAAAAAACACAAAGAAATTGACATTTAAAGTTTATTCAAGCTACGTAATCCATTTTAGGCATAGAATATATTATATACACCAAAATTCAACATGATTTCATGACCTCAACTATGTACTATTAATCGATGGGTGGAAAAGAAAAATTGAGAAAAGCATAAGAAAAACCACTCAAAATGGTTGAAGTTGATCAAGTCAAGCAGATTTTTGGCGGTGATAACCAAGGTGGAAGATATCCACCGATTCAAATGTTTAATGAAACGCAAATTAATTAAGAGATGAAGGATTAAATGCATGGACAATATTCAACATTTGGATGTCTCATCTGATGACAGCAGGTATGGATGATTCACCATGCATCTTCACGTTTTAAGTGGTACTTTGTTCTGAATTAATTGAAAAGTAAGCAGCAATCTCTTCAGAAATAGAAAGCCATGTGCATTGTCTATCTGGGATTGATACGTCGCTTGCAAATACCAGTCGTCATGAACAATACAAACACATAAAATAAAATTAATAGATCACCAAACGAGCAGATAATTCCTTGATTTCAATTTCTTATTAAGTCTTTGTCCCAATTTTGTCAGACTCTGATCAGACAGAAAATCAGAAAGCTCATTGGATCAGAATTGTATCGGTTAACTGATCAGGTAGCCAGTAAGGTCCTTTGCCTGCTTGTGGCAAGGACTTGGCATAGATTCCGGCCTTACGCTCTGGTGTGGTGGTGGGGGTG